AATGCACAGATAAAGGGATACATTGTACTGCACGTGATCAAACTGCAAGATTTATTGACATTTAACAAATGGTCATGTCATATCAAGTAGTCTGAGTTAAAAACAAATTAATCATCCTTACATAAATACAGAAATATTCTATTTTTATTCCCCAATGATAAATTTGGGATTATAATTTGGTTCTGAGTCTTCTGGCCAAAAGTTGGCAGGTAATTTAAGCATCTTTATGTTTTTTGATTTTTCTTTTCCTTTTCTTTGTAAGAACTGTAATAGTGTCAGCAATCACTAGAACAGCGAAGTATGATTATAATTTTGTTGTTCCTCTCACAAGTTCATCTAGGAGTTTACAATAGCAAATCTATCTGAAACTAGATGACCAATCACCATGAAGCCCACTTCACAAAGTTATGATGGTGATCTGAGTAGACCATCTGATATGCAGTGTAACAATATTAAAGGTCATTTGTAACAAACGCTGGAAGTTGACTTCTGTACGATTTCCTTAGCGTGGTGGCACTGCAGGAATAATTGGCTGCACCCCATTGCAGTCAACTTGGGCAGCGGGCCAAGGATATTGCTGAGTTTTTTTCCCATTCCAGATGGAGGAAAAGCATAATCTTGCTAAGAAAATCAACGGACCCTTTCGATATGGGAACCATTATTTGCTATTAGTTTTTCAAAACCATACTCCTTATAAAAGTGCGAGTTTGAGAAAAACTTTTCATAGACTAAAATACCCTTGATACTTTTGGTGATTACATTGTTATTCTATCCTATCTTAAATTCATAATTAACATTCTAATATTATCCTAATTAATATGCTTAATCGAGTCATTCTAATTAATATCTTTAAATATTGTTGTCCTGATTAATATTTTTAAATATTATTACCTTATCCTAATTGATTACCCTATCCTAAAATAGTTAGCTTCAATTATCCCATTCTCACTTGCTTGTCTAAAAGCGAAAAATAACTATAATTTTGTTTATTTAGAAAATCCCCTTAACTATAGAAATATTGTAGATAACCCCCTTAACTATTAATATTCCACAAACCTACTGAATTTCAGGAGTTTATCACATGAACCATTAACTTCTTTCATTCCACAAAACTTTAAAAATATTCATTTTAACTCCCAACGTAACACTGTCAAGTATGTGTCACATACCAAGCACATAAATTTAAAAAAATTAAAGTGAAGGAACTTCATGAAATTTGATGTTATTCAAGTTTCAATAATCTCGAGAATTGTTGTAGAAAAAATTCAAAGTTTGTTCAAATATTTTACTCACCTATAATCTTCTAAACAAGCTAAAACTAAAATAAACAAAAAGTTCAAATCTCTACATCATACTCTGCTATAAGCTATAATAACACCATGCTGTGCAAATATTACCCTTTGAACTCATAGTTCATTGTATTAGCTACTGTAGCTACATTAATTGCGATCCGAGAAAATACAAAATTTCACATACTCCACCACACCTTTGATAGTCATATGCATAATAATAAGGCGACTAGAAACATGTGACTTTTGGACAACAATGAGATGAGAACAATCCAAATGGATGAGAAACATTAATATTTCAGAATTATATCTTGATGAGGAAGGCACATACATCATCTAAAAATGTTGCTAAGCTTAGGAAAGGTGGGATGGACACGTATAACCTATTAAACACTTACAAGCCATATAACTGAATCATCAGGTTCAGAACTATTTAATATAAATTTGCTTCTTACAGGCCTTTTATGTTTTTGTACATAAATCTTGTTTAACAATCAATTCTTCCTAACATTATTTGGTGTTGATATTAATTTTTTGTAGAGCGCGTTTTATGAAATTTGCTACCATTTTTTAATTATCAAGAATTAAATGGGTGGATTATGGAGGATGACAAATTTCACAATTTCAGTGACTTATTGGTGAATATTTGAATAGATTACATGCAACCATACACAATTTTCCAACCGAGTTATTGTTAGGAAATAAACCATAAAGAAATAATCATGATATTTGACCACGAGCAATGCACATGCATCCTACCTAGTAAACAAATAAGTATACGAGACTATGAATCATGGCTAATGATATATTTTGTTTCAGTTGTGTGACTTGTGTCTTTGATCCTTGCAGAGATTGTACGAGTTTTTGCTCAATAAGTCTAGGCAGAGCTTAGTTTCAAATTTAATGTTTTAAATTGAATGTTGATGATATAAATAATTTATTATCTTAATTTGTGCTCCTCTCTTCTTTTTGTGACCACTTTTGATGTAACATCAGCTAGAATTTGCAGACCCTAATTGCCCACATATGAAAGGAACATGTTAAGTCTTATCCATTTTTTTTCCTCATCTCTGAAGGGATCTAGAAGTGGTTAAGTTCGGAAATTTGTTTGCTCATTCCATAGGTCTTTGTTCTGGAAGCACCAAACTTCTTACTTATTTCCTCCTCCTCCTTAAAGAAAATCTGGTTCTAGTGTAGCTCTATCATATTGCGTTTTCTGGGTTCAAAAACTGAATATCAAGGCTTTTGTCAGGTTGTCGCTGGCTTATGGGCTGCTGCTATCATAGGGAGCTGGTGCAATTTTCTGACTGTTCTTTACATTGGTAAGTAATCTTAGCTTTCCTGTTGAATAATGTGCTTGATTTTCGGCTTTATCACGTTAGTATCTTGAAGTTTGCTCCTTCTTACAGACATGAATTGGTGAATTTTATCGCTTTTTCTCTGAATAAAAGAATAGAGCAAGAAAAAGTGTGCTTGCAAATTCCTATCATCATGATAATTTGGATCCTGCTAATGCACATATCAACAATTTAGTATGTCCCTTTCGATATACTAATTTGGCTATTAACTCTATTGTCCAGAGAATAAAGTAATTGCATGTGTATGAATGTAGAGTGGTTAGAAGGAGAAGAAGTGAATAGGTCTAGAGATTAATATACTCCCATGTATATGGATCTAAAAGACATGAACAAACACATACTGCATATCCGCTAAATGTTACCATTAGAAGAAGCACAAAGTGAAGTTAGTAGAACAAAGTATTCAAATTATAAACTATAAAAAATGTAGTAGCCCCTTTGATATACTAATTATGGCTATTAACTCTAATATCCGGAGAATAATGTAATTGCAGTGTGTAGGAATGTAGCGTGGTTAGTAGGAGATATAAGAAGTGAATAGGTCTAGAGATTAATATACGCCATGTATATAGATCTAATAGATATATGAACAACATATACTGCATATTCAGTATATGTTACCATTGGAAGAAGCACATAGTTATAGGATTGGCAAGAATAGCAGTTTTGGGCTCAGGAACTCAGTTTGACAGGTTGACGGTCGACCGCGGGTCTTTGGCGGTCGACCGAAGTCGTGCACGGGGCCTCACTGTGCATCTGGATCTTTGGCGGTCGACTGTGGCGGTCGACCGCGAAAGTTTCTGCTGTTCGACCGTCACGGTCGACCGCCGAAGCGGATTTGGGTTGGGTTTGGTTTTCAGACCCGTTTGGTTTGGGAGTTATATATATACCCTTAACTCGTTTTTTAGGGTTTAAGGGAGAGGATTTTGAGCTAAAGAAAGATGAGATTTGGGGCTTCTATTGTTGGAGCCATTTGGAGAAATTAAGAGGGTTTATTTGCTGGTTTGTGGTAAAATTTGTAACCCTAATTGTATTCTCCTTGATTTCTAATAGTAAAACTCCCCTCTCCTTACCCCGTGGACGTAGGCAATTTGCCGAACCACGTATATTGTGTGTTTTTGCTGTGATTGAGTATTGCTTGTGCTATTGGGATCTATTTATTGGTTCTTTTGTGTGCTATTGATTTGCCTAATTGGCTTCTGTCGTGCACAACAATAGTGAAGTTAGTAAAAAGATAAATTATTCAAATTATAAACAATAAATGTAAATTATTTCCCAATGGACTTTGAACCTCGCTGAACTATTCCCAAACGCCGAATTTGTGAATATGCTTCACATTATTTATCTTCCTCTCTGCATGCCTCCTCCATTCTGGCGGATAATCTCTTAGCCAACCTTCAGATTTATCAATAACTATATAGATTCATTCTGTAAGAAGATTAATAGTTTTATTAGCTTTTATATAAACATTATCGTCTTCGTTCTGAAATACAAGAAGTCTTTAATATTTTGCTGATTTTGTATCTTATTCAGGGTTTATTTCTGCTCATACTCTACCGGTGCTTTATGAGAGGTACGAAGATCAGGTTGATGACTTGGTCTACAATCTCCTAGGGCAGTTTCAGAATCACTACAGGAAGCTGGATGAAGGCGTATTGAGCAAAATACCAAAGGGAAACCTCAAGTCCAAGAAAACCGATTAAGTTTAGTTATCCTTTGCCAGCAAAATATTCAAAAAATTGTCATCCTAGACTTATTCTGCTGCTATTTATTCTGTCATAGATGATATCTATATTAATAGATGTTGGATATTTTTTTAAGAACGAAGTAGATGTTGGATATTATCTACTGTAAATTCATTTTCGTTTCACCTAGATGAATTTACTGCTCAAGTCAGCATTTAAACCTATTAATG